TCGCTCACCTGAATATTTAAGCAGTCATAGCAAAATATTCTCATTAAATATTATATTGCACTAAAAATATTTCCCTCACAAACTTTGTTGGCTCCAACTGTTGAAACTACCAGGAAAATATTATTACAAGATTCTATGCTTTTTGATTCTTCAGAAGTTGCTTGACATATTTTTCCCTGTGACCTTGTAAGTAGGTCAATGTCATTTTCCTTCTCAAATTGGTAAGCTCTATTCCAAAAGCTACCAGCCAAATCTTATGAATCCATTCCTTTTAGTTCTTAAGAACAAATCCATTAAAATGTTGTTGACCTCTGTGACCTTGAAAGTAGGTCAAGGTCACTTTCATTCCCAAACTTTGTTGGGCTCTTTCCCAGGAAATAACCAGCCGAATATTAAGGTTCTATAACTTCCAGTTCTTCAGAAGAAGTCATTTGAAGTGTTTGACATATCTGCCTCATGTGACCTTAAAAGTAGGTAAAGGTCATTTTCATTCTCAAACTTTGTTGGGCTCTTTCCTAGGAAGCTACAAGCCAAATATAAAGATTCTATACCTTTCAGTTGTTCAGAAGAAGTCGTTTGAAGTGTCTGACACATTTGACCCCTGTGACCTTGAAAGAAGGTCAAGGTCATTTTCTTCCTCAAACTTTGTCGGGCTCTATCCCAGGAAGCCATCAATCAAATATAAAGATTCTATACCTCTCAGTTCTTCAGAAGAATTAATTTGAAGCTTTTGACACATTTGACCCCTGTGACCTTGAAAGTAGAACAAGGTAATTTTCATTCTCAAACTTTGTTGGGCTCCATCCCAGGAACCAATCAGCCAAATATGAAGATTCTATACCTTTTAGTTCTTCAGAAGAAGTCGTTTGAAGTTTTTGACATATTTGACCCCTGTGACCTTGAAAGTAGGTCAAACTAATTTTCTTCCTCAAACTTTGTTGGGCTCTATCCCAGGAAGCCACCAGCCAAATATAAAGATTCTATACCCTTCAGTTCTTCAGAAGAAGTCATTTGAAGCTTTTTACACATTTGACTCCTGTGACCTTGAAAGTAGGTCAAGGTAATTTTCATTCTCAAACTTTGTTGGGCTCCATCCCAGGAACCAATCAGCCAAATATGAAGATTCAATACCTTTTAGTTCTTCAGAAGAAGTCGTTTGAAGTTTTTGACATATTTGACCCCGGTGACCTTGAAAGTAGGTCAAACTAATTTTCATTCGCAAACTTTGTTGGGCTCTATCCCAGGAAGCCACCAGCCAAATATGAAGCTTCAATACCTTTTAGTTCTTCAAAGGAAGTTGTTTGAAGTGTTTTACACATTTGACCCCTGTGACCTTGAAAGTAGGTCAAAGTCATTTACGTTCTCAAACTTTGTTGGGCTCCTACCAACAAAGCTTTCAGCCAAATATCATGACTCTTGGCCTATCCGTTCTTCAGAAGAAGTTGTTTAAAGGAAAAGTTGACAGACGAGGACGGACGGACGGACGGAGGACGGACGACGGACGCCGCACCACGACATAAGCTCACGTGAGCTAACAAAGACTCTAGGTATAATATAACAAACAAGAGGCCCAGAGGGCCTGTATCGCTCACCTGAATGTGTTTAAAATAATTGGTATGAAGTAAAGATATAACACTCAATGGTAGGTGCTGTAAGTACATATGAAATTTCAGTAAGATCCATCCAATACTTGAGAAATAGCAAGAACAAACTTCAAACAGAGCCCCATCCCGATGCCCCTAGGGGGGTCATACCCACTGTTTATACAAAATTAAGTCCCCTTGGCCCAAGGATGCTCCAGATTAAATAAGGATAAAATTCCTTAATCCCGATGGTCGAAAAAGGATTTTAAAGGTTTTACCTCTATTTCTCCTATTGGGCCCCGCCCTTCTGCCCCCTGGGAGACCACAACCACTGCTTATACAAAATTTAGTGCCTTTTGCCCAAGATCCTCCAGACCAAATTGGGAAAAATCCCTTCATCCCTATGGTAGAGGAAGGATTTTAAAGATTCACCTCTATTTCCCATGTTGGGCCCCGTCCTTCTGCCTCCTTGGAGTCCACACCCACAGCTTATACATAATCGAGTCCCCTCGGCCATAGGATCCTCCAGACCAAATTAGGATAAAATCCCTTAATCCAGATGGTCGAAGAAGGATTTTAAAAGTTTTCCCTTTATTTCCCCTATTGGGCCCGCCCCTCAGGTCCCAGGGGGGGCCACACCCACCGTTTATACAAAATTTGTTCCCCTTTACCCAAGGATACTCCTTCGGGCAGGTGAGCTAAAAATGTGCCATATTGTTGAATAACTGCATTGCACAAACGCTTGTGTCCTTCGGTACACTACTTACTACTCTGGTCGGCAGTTTGTCACAAAATGATGTTCAGTGAAGTGTTCTCGTTATAAACACATTGATTTCATACCTTTTCTTTCAGATATTACAGAAGGAATGCTGTGAGAGCCATATTGGATTTCTGATTGACCCCAAAAATAACAACACTTTGTCAAGAACATAAATTGATCATTCCTACCAAGTTTCAATTAGATTGGCCTAGTAGAACTTGACTGTACGTTTGAAATAGTTTTTTAAAATGGCCGTCCGTGTAGGCCATATTAGTTGTTTGATTGACCCGAAAAATAATAACACTTTGTCAGGACAATGAGTTGATCATTCCTTCCAAGTTTCAGTTAAATCGGCCAAGAAGTACTTGACTTTAAGTTAGAAATAGTTTTTCAAAATGGCGGCCGTGTCAGCCATATTGAATTTCTCATTGACCCAAAAAATAACAACACATTGTCAGGAACACATGTTTATCATTCCTACCAAGTTTCATTTAAATCGGCCTAGTAAAACTTGACTTTAAGTTTGAAATAGTTTTTCAAAATGGCCAGCCCTGGCAGCCATATTGGATTTATAATCGACCCGAAAAATAACTCTTTGTCAGGACCACGAGTTGATCATTCCTACCAATTTTCAGTTAAATCAGCCCAGTAAAACTTGACATTAAGTTTGTAATAGCTTCTTTCAAAATGGCTGCTGTGGCGGCCATATTGGATTTCTGATCGACCCGAAAAAATAACAACACTTTGTCAGAACCACAAGTTGACCATTCCTACCAAGTTTCAGTTAAATCAGCCCAGTAGAACTTGACCCAAAAAATAACAACACTTGGTCAGGGAGTTGTCAGTAACATTCCCCATGAAGTATCAATGAAATCCCTTTGACAGTATTTCAGCTTAAGTTGAAAATGTAAAATGGTAACGGACGATGGACGACGACGGACGAAGACGGATAGCAGTAGGTCACTTGTATATTAATAAGGGAAGAATGCATGTCATGACTATAAAGTTGCATAGGCAATTGGGCCAACACAATTGAACTTTACATAATAGACCAACAAGATTTGTTGTGGCTGCGGGCTATCTGACCACCATTACTTTCGAACACATAATATAACATATAAAATTTGAGAAAGATCCTTCCAGTACTTCCTGAGAAATAGCGAGAACAAACATTCACTGTCAAATCCAAGACAGCCAACTGTAGGCCTTTTTTTGTTTATCCGATCAGACTCAAAAGTAAACATGTACATCTAGGGACCAAGGGGAATCTTCATATTAAATATTAGAAAAATCCCTCTTTTGCTTACTATGAAAACAGCGATAACGAGAAGGTTTTAAGGGCGGATCTTACAACATGGACAAAGGGCTATTCAGATGGGTCAGAATACAAAACAAGAGGCCCAAAGGACCTGTATTGCTCACCTGAATATCTAAGCAGTCATAGCAAAATATTCTCATTAAATATTATATTGCACTACAAATATTTCCCTCGCAAACTTTGTCGGCTCCATCTGTTGAAACTACCAGCCAAATATTATAAGATTCTGTGCTTTTTGGTTCTTCTTCAGAAGTTGTTTGACATATTTTTCCCTGTGACCTTGAAAGTAGGTCAATGTCATTTTCCTTCTCAAACTTTGTTAGCTCTATACAAAGAAGCTACCAGCCAAATCTTACGAATCCATTCCTTTTGGTTCTTCAGATCAAATCCTTTGAAATGTTGTTGACTCCTTTAAAGTAGGTTAAGGTCTTTTTCATTTGCAAACTTTGGTGAGCTCTATCCCAGGAAGCAACCAGCCAAATATTATAATTTTATGCCTTTTGATTATTCAGAAGTAGATTGATGTTTTTGACATATTTTACCCATGTGACCTTGAAAGTAGGTCAAGGTCATTTTCATTCTCAAACTTTGTTTGGCTCTATCCCAGGAAGCCACCAGCCAAATATTATAATTTTATGCCTTTCGATTATTCAAAAGAAGTCGTTTGGACATACTTGACACATGTGACCTAGAAAAAAAGGTCAAGGTCATTTTCATTCTCAAACTTTGTTGGGCTATATCCCAGGAAGCAACCAGCAAAATATAAAGGTTCTATGCTTTTTAGTTCTTCAGAAGAAGTTGTTTGAAGAGTTTGACATATTTGACCGCCGTGACCTTGAAAGTAGGTCAAGGTCATTTTAATTCTCAAACTTTGTCGAGCTTTATCCAAGGAAGCCATCAGCCAAATATGAAGAGGTTATACATTTCAGTTATTCAGAAGTAGTTTGATGTCTGAAGAGTTTGACATATTTGACCCCTGTGACATTGAAAGTAGGTCAAGGTCATAATCATTCTCAAACTTTGTTGGGCTCTATCCCAGGAAGCAACCAGCCAAATATTATATTATTATATTATAATTTTATGCCTTTCGATTATTCAGAAGTCGTTTTGACATATTTGACACATGTGACCTTGTAAGAAGGTCAAGGTCATTTTCATTCTCAAACTTTGTTGGGCTCTATTCCAGGAAGCGACCAGCCAAATATGAAGGTTCTAAACTTTTTAGTTCTTCAGAAGAAGTTGTTTGAAGAGTTTGACATATTTGACCGTTAATATTAACATGATCTGTTCACATGCTAAGCCCAACAGTACAACTGAAAAAGCATATCTTCATACTTACTTCAAGAGTCTTCAACATTGGCACATGCTCCAACAGTGCTTCATACATTTTCCGTTTGTTGAAAGCATTCTTTAATACTATTCTTCTAAATGTGGTTCTGTCCTGAAATACAAAAAGAAAGAAAAAATCTTCAATTCATTCATTTGATTTGATTCCTAGAACCAATCAGGATGCTACTTTACCCTACCCTCTAGCCCCAAGGAAAGTCAGCCCGTTTAATTTTATTTGTAAAACTTTGAACCCCATTGCCTAAAGTTGCTAGCAAAAATCCTTTGTTAAAGGATGATCCTTTGAAAAACGTTTTTCATAGGATGAGGCCAAGGTTCAAACCATACATCCAAGTGACCTCTTTGTAATTTACATTTTGCCATCCCAAGATGTACTTGTGTACCAAACCTGGTTCTCCAGGTGAAAAAGTATAGGAGATATAACCTAGACAATTAACTTTTTCAAAGGTTGAGGTCAAGATGCCAAGATGTATTTGCATACCAAATTTGATCGGGACTTGGGTATGGGAACATCTGTCCGACCATCTGTCGGTTTTCTCCCATTAAGATATGCCTTGGACAAAAAATTTCAAAAGTAAAGGTCAAAGGTCATAGGTCCAAGTAACCCAATTCTTGCACTCTGGACTCTGCCATCCCAAATTGTCCTTGTTCACAAAATTTGGATGCTCCAGGTGAAATAGTATAGAAGATATGTCCCGGACAAACTTCTTGGAGGGAAGGGTGGACGGACAGATTGCAAACCTATAATCCCTCCCAGGAATCGTTGGGGAACTAATTAACAAAAGGCCCAAGGGCCTTAGTGGTCACCTGAGTCAATCATTAAGCAGAAGAAGAATTTTGAAATTTGTGCCGAGTTGGAATCATTTCCACAAGAAATTATTTGACATAAATAAAGTGTTATTTCCCTATATAAACTATAGTAAACGTTACCCCACCCCAGGGAGGGGGGAATGAATGACCCAGCGATATTAAAATTTATAATTTTGATAGAGCCCTTTAAGACATATCCATCCATCTAGGGAATTTGATACCAGGACTACTTTGTATGAAGAAGTTTTTTGAATTTATACCAAAATTTTCCCCTTTGAACCCCGTACATCTGCCCCATGGAGGGCTCAGGGTTTTAATTTAAATATCATCAAACTGCCATCCTATGATGATCATTCCAACCAAGTAACAATGGGATGATCATTTCAACCAAGTTATCAATTTTGCATAAAAATGTACAACTATACTCAAAAGTGTTAATTCCCTTTGTAAACTATAGTAAACTTTACCTCCTCCACAAGGGTTTGGTTCAAATCCCTCCATTCATACAGAAGAAGAACGATCTTAAACATGTTTCCCTAAGTCTTCCCTAATGGTTGGCCTCAACCTCCAGGAGGGGCAATATTTTCAATTCATAGAAAATTGAGTCTCTCCCCCTTGCCCAAGGATGTTGGTTAAATCCCTTTATTTGTACAAAAGGAGAAGAATCTTTAAGCTTTTACCTCAATTTTCTCTGTAGGGCCCAAACCCTTTGCCCCAAGGGGACCCTCATGATCACCCTCCTTTTATAAAAATGTAAATCCCCTTGCCCACACATAAAATTTTGGCAAAATCCTTCTATTGTACAAAAGGAAAAGAAGTTTAAAGGATTTATTTAAATTTCCCCTATTAGGGCCTGGCCCCTAATCTCCAAGGAGGCAACATCCTCAATTTATACAAAATTGAGTCCCCTTTGCCCAAAGATGCTCTACACCAAATTTGGTTCAAATTCCTGAATTCATACCAAAGGAAAAGGATTTTAAACATTTTACCTATGTTCTCCCAAGGGAGCCACAACCTCCATTTATAGAAAATAAATTGATTTCCCCTTGCCCAAGGATGTATTAGACAATATTTGGTTAACAAAAGGCCCAGAGGGCCTGTATCACTCACCTGGATAAAAAAAACACCATAGAAAATTAATCTCATTGCATGCAACTATTTACAAATATTGTCTGTCTCTCAGCAACAATCGTCCCTCATTAGTTCCCTTCTTTCTGCCCCCTATGCATTGGGGTGATGTTTTTACATTAACCTCAATTCCGCCTTTTTGGTCCTGCCCTTCAGCCCCCTAAAAGCAACCCTCTATTTATAAAAAATTTAGACCTTTTTGCCAAAGCATGCTCTAGCTACACCAAATTTGGTTAAAATGCCTCCATAAAAACTGAAAGAGAACAATTTAAAGCTTAAATACTATGTTCACCCTATTGTGCCAGGGGGACCACACTCTCTGTCAAAACATGGAGTCCCCCTTGCAAAATGATGTTCTGTAAAACAAGAGGCCCAAGAGGGCCTGTATCGCTCACCTGAATACTTAAGCAGTCATAGCAAAATATTCTCATTAAATATTATATTGCACTTAAAATATTTCCCTCGCAAACTTTGTTGGCTCCATCTGTTGAAACTACCAGCAAAATATTATTATAAGATTCTATGCTTTTTGATTCTTCTTCAGAAGTTGCTCGACATATTTTTTCCTGTGACCTTGTAAGTAGGTCAATGTCATTTTCCTTCTCAATTTGGTAAGCTCTATTCCAAAATGCTACCAGCCAAATCTTATGTATCAATTCCTTTGAGTTCTTGAGAACAAATCCTTTATTTAAAATGCTGTTGACCTCTGTGACCTCTAAAGTAGGTTGAGGTAATTTTCATTCACAAACTTTGGTGAGCTCTATCCCAGGAAGTCACCAGCCAAATATTATAATTTGATGAATTTTAATTCTTCAGAAGAAGTAGTTTGAACCGTTTGACATATTTGAACGGTGTGACCTTGAAAGCAAGTCAAGGTTATTTGCATTCACAAACTTTGTTTGGCTCTTTCCAATGAAACAAGAGGCCCAATAGGCCTGCATCGCTCACCTGGTATAAAACTCACACTTGTAACCTTAAAAGTGATCTAAAATAAAGCTACAGGCAAAATATCAGTATTTATGATTAAAATTCATTCAAAAGACCCTGTTATTCTTTTTTAAAACATTTCACCCCTGTGATTGAAAGTCGAACAAAGTGATTATGTTGAACACATTGTATAGCCTTTCATCTTAGGATGCAACTTGCAAAGTATAAACATCCTGGGACCCATGGTTATTCAGAAGAGGTTGTTTAAAGATTTTAAACAAATTTGACCCCTGTGACCTTGAATATAAGTCAAAGTCATTCACTTTAACAAACAAAGTAGTCCTTGATCCCAGCATATGCTACTGACTAAATATCAACATCCTGAGCCTTTTGGTTATTCAGAACAAGTTGTTGAAATATTTTGAACATATTTGCTCCTTGTGACCTTGAATATGATTCAAGGTCATACATTTATACAAACTTGGTAGCCCTTGATCCTAGTATGCTACTGACTAAATATCATCACCCTGGGCATTTTGGTTATTCAGAAGAAGTTGTTTAAAGTTTTTAACATATTTGACCCCTGTGACCTTGAATATGGGTGAAGGTCATGCATTTGAACAAACTTTGTAGCCCTTCATCTCAGCATGCTACTGGCCAAATATCATCACCCTGTGCATTTTGGTTATTCAGAAGAAGTTGTTTAAAGTTTTTAACATATTTGACCCCTGTGACCTTGAATATGGGTGAAGGTCATTCATTTGAACAAACTTTGTAGCCCTTCATCTCAGCATGCTACTGGCCAAATATCATCACCCTGGGCATTTTGGTTATTCAGAAGAAGTTGTTTAAAGTTTTTAACATATTTGACCCCTGTGACCTTGAATATGGGTGAAGGTCATTCATTTGAACAAACTTTGTAGCCCTTCATCTCAGCATGCTACTGGCCAAATATCATCACCCTGGGCATTTTGGTTATTCAGAAGAAGTTATTTAAAGTTTTTTTAAGACAATTGACCCCTGTGACCTTGAATATAATTGAAGGTCATTCATTTGAACAAACTTGGTAGCCCTTAACCCTAGCATGCTACTGACCAAATATCATCTTCCTGGGCAGTTTGGTTATTGAGAAGAAGTTGTTTAAAGTTTTTAACATATTTGACCCTGTGACCTTGAATATGGGTGAAGGTCATATATTTGAACAAACTTGGTAGCCCTTCATCCCAGTTTGCTTCTGGCCAAATATCATCACCCTAGGCCTTTTGGTTATTAAGATGAAGTCGTTTAAAGTAAAATATTGACGCCGGACGAAGGATGGACGACGGACGGACAGACGGACGGACGGACGGACGGACGACGCACCACGGCATAAGCTCACTTGGCACTTCGTGCCAGGTGAGCTAAAAATTGAGTCCCCTTTGCCCAAGGATGCTCTACACAAATTTTGGTTAAAATTCCCCCAAATAAACTGAAGGAGAAGTATTTTTAAACATTTATTACTATGTTCCTAATACTGGACCTTTCCCCTTTTGCTTCCTGGGGGGACCACACTCTCTGTTAAAACAAATTAACTCCCACTTGCCAAATTATGCTCTGGACCAAATTTGGTTAAAATAACTCCAATTATACTGAAGGAGAAGGATTTTAAAGATTTTCCTGAATTTTCCCTATCGACCCAACCCCTCTGTCCCAAAGAGGGCCAAACCCTCCGTTTATACAAAATCGAGTCCCCTTTGCCTAAGAATGCTCTACACAAAATTCGTTCAAATCTCTAAAATCATACTAAAGAGGTTTTTAATCATTAATGACAATGTTCCTCCTATTGGTCCGTGTGCCCTCTGTCCCCAGGGGGCAAGAGGGCACACTCTCCCTTTCAAGTGGGTCTCCTTTTGCAAGGATGCTCTGGATTAAATTTGTATAAAATCCCTCCAATGGTACAGATGAAGAAGGATTTTGAAAATTTAAACCACATATTCCCCTTTTAGGCCCAGCTCTTCTCGTTTACCCAAGGATGCTTCAGAGTAAATTTGGTTCAAATCCCTCCAACAATACAGGAAAAGAAGCATTTCAAAATTTAACAAGAGGCCCAATGGGCCTGCATCGCTCACCTGGTATTAAATTCACACTTGTAATCTTAAAAGTGGACTAAAATACAGCTACAGGCAGAATATCAGTGTTTGATTCATAAGAACCTATTAAAAGATTTAAACATATGACGCCTGTGACTTTGAATGTCGAACAAGGACATCAGGTTGAAAGTGGATCAAGGTCATTCATTTGAACAAACTTGGTAGCCCTTCATCCCAGCATGCTACAGGCCTAATTTCAGTACCCTGGGCCTTTTGGTTATGGAGAAGTTGTTTTAAGATTTTAAAACATTTGACCCCAGTGACCTTGAAAATTGGTCAAGGTCATTCATTTGAACAAACTTGGTAGCCCTTCATCCCAGCATGCTACAGGCCGAATATCAGTACCTTGGGCGTTTTGGTTATTGAGAAGAAGGGGTTTGAAGATTTTAAGACATCTGACCCCAGTGACCTTGAAAGTTGGTCAAGGTCAAACATTTGAACAAACTTGGTAGCCCTTAATCCCAGCATGCTATAGGCCCAATATCAGTACCCTGGGCCTTTTGGTTATTGTGAAGAAGTTGTTTGAAGATTTTAAGACATCGGACTCCAGTGACCTTGAAAGTTGGTCAAGGTCATTTATTTGAGCAAAATTGGTAGCCCTTCATCCCCGCATGCTACAGGCCCAGTATAAGTACCCTTGGCCTTTTGGTTATTGAGAAGAAGTTGTTTGAAGATTTTAAGACATCTGACCCCAGTGACCTTGAAGGTGGGTCAAGGTCATTCATTTGAACAAACTTGGTAGCCCTTCATCCCAGCATGCTACAGGCCCAATATAAGTACCCTTGGCCTTTTGGTTATTGAGAAGAAGTTGTTTGAAGATTTAAAGACATCTGACTCCAGTGACCTTGAAAGTGGGTCAAGGTCATTCATTTGAACAAACTTGGTAGCCCTTCATCCCAGCATGCTACATGCCCAATATAAGTACCCTGGGCCTTTTGGTTATTGAGAAGAAGTTGTTTGAAGATTTTAAGACATCTGACCCCAGTGACCTTGAAGGTGGGTCAAGGTCATTCATTTGAACAAACTTTGTAGCCCTTCATCCCAGCCGGACGGCGGGACGGACGGCCGGACGGACGGACGACGGAGGCCGCACCATAACATAAGCTCACTTGCCCTTCGGGCAGGTGAGCTAATAAACCTCAAATTCCACTATTGTGCCCTGCCCCTCTGACACATGGGAGGCCACACCCTTCTTTTATACAAAATTTAGTCCTCTTTGCTAAAGGATGATCCAGGCTAAATTTAGATAAAATCCCTCTAATGGTACAGATGAAGAAGGATTTTTGAAAATTTAAACCTCATGTTCCCTTTTAAGGCCCAGCTCTTCCTGTTTACCCGAGGATGCTTCAGGGTAAATTTGGTTCAAATCCCTCCAACAATACAGGAAAAGAAGCATTTCAAAATTTAATAAACCTCAAATTCCACTATTTTGCCCCGCCCCTCTGACACATTGGAGGCCACACCCTTTGTTTATACAAAATTTAGTCCCCTCTGCCTAAGGATACTTCAGGCCAAATTTAGTTAAAATCCACTGAGGACATGAAGCGTTTTAAAGGAGATGTTGACAGAGGGATGGACAACGGACTCTGCACGATGGCAGAAGATCACTTGCCCTTCAGGCTGGTGAGCTCATAATGAATAGCTGGCATCTCTGCCACAAAACAAAGCATCTACACAAATATGGTCCCGCAGTGTCCCCTGCAACCTACCATTGCCCATAATGTTCCGTCAGAAGTGGCCACAATTGTAGCAGCACGCGGCATGTTGTACATCAAGGCAAGCTCTCCGAAACTTCCTTTACTATCATATTTACCAACCAGATTGCCATTGACAAAAATATCATATGTTCCACTGAAAAAGAAGAAAAAACAGAAAATAAGAATACCTATATCAGGATATATTAACATATCCAACTGGAACTGTCTGTAGTGGACTAAGGATCAGTGGTTTAGCAGCATGAGCCTGTTTTGTCAATTACTAGGGAAATCAAAGTGCTGAGAGATGCTGTGTATGAAGGATTCAAATAATGGAATAAAGGAGGTGGTATATCAGTACAGAATGGCAGTAAATAAAGAAGAACATGTAGTTGAGTAAGGGTCATAATAGCCAATTCCTTAATCATAATTTTCAATAAAAATATATATAACAAGCAGGGTATTGCTAAAACAATTGAAACTTGTATGATATTATGGTCCTTAATTAGTGTTTCAAATCGATGGAAATCCTTCAAGGAATGAAGCTGCTACAGCACAGACAGTGAGCTTTTTGGAAATAGTAACAGCGACCTTGACCAGACAACCCTGCAAACCAAAATTGTCCCGTAAGATTATGGGAAAGTTAAATTTACTATCTAATAAAAATTAAAAAAAAGGGATATAGATAATATAAATAAATAATTATGATATTATTATTACAATTTGTTATTATCATGATTAATTATACAAACAAGAGGCCCAATGGGCCTGCATCGCTCACCTGGTATAAATATCACACTTGTAACACTAAAATAAAGCTACAGGCAAATTAAGTCATTATGTTGAACAAATTTTATAGTCTTTCATTTCAGGATGCAACTTGCAAAGTATCAACATCCTGGGACCCATGGTTATTCAGAAGAGGTTGTTTACTTTAACAAACATAGAAGTCCTTGATACCAGCATGCTACTGACTAAATATCAACATCCTGAGCCTTTTGATTATTCAAGTTGTTTAAAAAAGTTTTGAACATATTTGCTCCTTGTGACCTTGAATATGATTCAAGGTCATACATTTGAACAAACTTGGTGGCCCTTGATCCTAGTATGCTACTGACTAATGATCATCACCCTGGGCATTTTGGTTATTCAGAAGAAGTTTTTAACATATTTGACCCCTGTGACCTTGAATATGGGTGAAGGTCATTCATTTGAACAAACTTTGTAGCCCTTAATTTCAGCATGCTACTGGCCAAATATCATCACCCTGTGCATTTTGGTTATTCAGAAGAAGTTGTTTAATGTTTTTCACATATTTGACCCCTCTGACCTTGAATATAGGTGAAGGTCATTCATTTGAACAAACTTTGATAGCCCTTTACCCCAGTATGCTACTGGCCATATATCATCACCCTGGGCAATTTGGTTATTGAAAAGAAGTTGTTTGAAATCTTTAACATATTTGACCCCTGTGACCTTGAATATGGGTGAAGGTCATTCATCTGAACAAACTTTGTAGCCCTTCATCTCAGCATGCTGCTGGCCAAATATCATTACCCTGGGCATGTTGGTTATTGAGAATAAGTTGTTTAAAGTATATTTGACCCCTGTGACCTTGAATATGGGTGAAGGTCATTCATCTGAACAAACTTTGTAGCCCTTCATCTCAGCATGCTACTGGCCAAATATCATCACCCCGTGCATTTTGGTTATTCAGAAGAAGTTGTTTAATGTTTTTCACATATTTGACCCCTGTCACCTTGAATATAGGTAAAGGTCATTCATTTGAACAAACCTGATAGCCCTTTACCTAAGCATGCTACTGGTCAAATATCATCACCCTGGGCATTTTGGTTATTGAGAAGTTGTTTAATTTTTTTAACATATTTGACCCCTGTGACCTTGAATATGGGTGAAGGTCATTCATCTGAACAAACTTTGTAGCCCTTCATCTCAGCATGCTACTGGCCAAATATCATCACCCTGTGCATTTTGGTTATTCCGAAGAAGTTGTTTAATGTTTTTCACATATTTGACCCCTGTCACCTTGAATATAGGTAAAGGTCATTCATTTGAACAAACTTGGTAGCCCTTCACCCAAGCATGCTACAGGCCAAATATCATCTCCCTGGGCATTTTGGTTATTGAGAAGAAGTTGTTTAAAATATATTTGACCTCTGTGACCTTGAATATGGGTGAAGGTCATTCATCTGAACAAACTTTGTAGCCCTGGCAGTTTGGTTATTGAGAAGAAGTTGTTTAAAGTTTTTTTAAGACAAATGACCCCTGTGACCTTGAATATCATTGAAGGTCATTCATTTGAACAAACTTGGTAGCCCTTTATCCCAGCATGCTACTTCATAGCGCTTTACCTAAGCATGCTACTGGCCAATTATCATCACACTGGGCATTTTGGTTATTGAGAAGAAGTTGTTTATAATATATTTGACCTCTGTGACCTTGCATATGGGTGAAGGTCATTCATCTGAACAAACTTTGTAGCCCTTCATCTACGCATGCTACTGGCCAAATATCATCACCCGGGGCATTTTGGTTATTGAGAAGACGTTGTTTAAAGTTTTTTTAAGACAAATGACCCCTGTGACCTTGAATATCATTGAAGGTCATGCATTTGAACAAACTTTGTAGCCCTTTATCGCAGCATGCTACTGGCCAAATATCATCGCCCCGTGCATTTTGGTTATTCAGAAGAAGTTGTTTAAAGGTTTTATACATATTTGACCCCTGTGACCTTGAATATGGGTGAAGGTCATTCATCTGAACAAACTTTGTAGCCCTTCATCTACGCATGCTACTGGCCAAATATCATCACCCTGTGCATTTCGGTTGTTCAGAAGAAGTTGTTGAATGTTTTTACCATATTTGACCCCTGTGACCTTGAATATGGGTGAAGGTCATTCATCTGAACAAACTTTGTAGCCCTTCATCTCCGCATGCTACTGGCCAAATATCATCACCCTGTGCATTTCGGTTGTTCAGAAGAAGTTGTTGAATGTTTTTAACATATTTGACCCCTGTGACCTTGAATATAAATGAAGGTTATTTATTTTGAACAAACTTTGTAGCCCTTTATCTCAGCATGCTACTGGCCAAATATCAGTACCCTGGGCCTTTTGATTATTGAGAAGTTTTTTGAAGATTTTAAGACATTTTACTCCAACTTTGTAGCCCTTCATCTCCGCATGCTACTGGCCAAATCTCATCACCCTGTGTATTTTGGTTATTGAGAAGAAGTTGTTTAAAGTTTTCAACAAATTTGACCCCTGTGACCTTGAATGTATGTCAAGGTCATTCATTTGAACAAACTTGGTAGTCCTTTATCCCAGCATGTTACTGGCCAAATATCAGTACCCTGGGCCTTTTGATTATTGAGAAGTTGTTTGAAGATTTTAAGACATTTGACACATGTGACCTTAAAAGTAGGTCAAGGTCATTCATTTGAACAAACTTGGTAGCCCTTAATCCAAGCATGCTAAATGCCCAATATCAGTACCTTGGGCCTTTTGGTTATTGAGACGAAGCTGTTTGAAAATGTAAAGCCATTTGAACCCGTGACCTTGAAAGTTGGTCAAGGTCATGCATTTGAACAAACTTGGTAGCTTTACATCCCAGTATGATACAGGCCCAATATCAGTACCCTGGGCCTTTTGGTTATTGAGGAGAAGTTGTTTGAAGATTTTAAGACATTTCAACCCTGTGACCTTGAAAGTAGGTCAAGGTCATTCATTTGAACAAACATGGTAGTGCTTCATCCTAGCAGGTTATTGGCCAAATATCATCATCCTGGGCCCTCTAGTTATTCAGAAGAAGTGGCCAAATATCATAATTGTCGGTCTTTCAGTTATTCAGAAGAAGTTGTTGAAAGGTTTTAAACATATTTGACCAATCTGACTTTGAATACTTGAAAATGAGCAAAGGTCATTCATTTTAACAAACTTGGTAGCCCTTCATCCCAGGATGCTACTGGCCAAATATCATCGGACTGGGCCTCTTTGTTATTCAGAAGAAGTTGTTTTAAAGGTAAAAGGTTGACGCCAGACGGACGACGGACGGACGACGCACGATGCCATAGGCTCAATTGGCCGTTTGGGCCAGGTGAGCTAAAAAACAAACCAAATCCTTTGGCCAGGTGAGCTAATTATCACTTCAACATTAAATTCCGATAAATTTGGTTCAAGACTTAATGAGTGAGATACAGATTAAGCCCTGAAAAGGTAACCGCAGTGATTGGCAGGCACATGAGATACTCACCTGTCTATAACATAGAAGTTGTCACCGTCATCACCCTGGTCTATAACATGTTCTGCTGGTTTAACCTGCAACACAAACTACCACTTAATATCATTTGCATCAAGGGTATATTTATTTTTTGTTGTCAAAAATGGGCAAAGGTCATTCATTTGAACAAACTTGGTAGCCCTTTATCCCAGCATGCTACAGGCCCAATATCAGTACCTTGTGCCTTTTGGTTATTGAGAGAAAGTCGTTTGTAGATTTTAACATATTTGATCCCAGTGACCTTGAATATGATTCAAGCTCATTCATTCCAGAATGTTATTGGCCAAATATCATTATCCTAGGCCTCTTGGTTATTCAGAAGAAGTTGTTTAAAGGTTTTACACATATTTGACCCCTGTGACCTTGAATATAAATAAAGGTCATTTATTTGAACAAACTTGGTAGCACTTCATCCCAGCATGCTACAGGCCCAATATCAGTACCCTGTGCCTTTTGGTTATTGAGAAGAAGCTGTTTGTAGATTTTAACATATTTGACCCCAGTGACCTTGAATATGATTCAAGCTCATTCATTTGAACAAACTTGGTAGCAATTCATTCCAGCATGTTATTAGCCAAATATCATTATCCTAGGTCTCTTGGTTATTCAGAAGAAGTTGTTTAAAGGTTTTATACATATTTGACACCTGTGACCTTGAATATAATTTAACATTTATTTGCAAATGAAAATGACCTCAAGATGGTTAAGGTCATTCAATTGAACAAACTTGGTAGCCCTTCATCTCAGCATGCTACAGGCCCAATATCAGTACCCTGGGCCTTTTGGTTATTCAGAAGAAGTTGTTTTAAGATTTTAAGACAGTTGACCCCTGTGACCTTGAAAGAGGGACAAGGTCCTTCATTTGAACAAACTTGGTAACCCTTCATCCCAGTATGCTACAAGCCCAATATCAGTACCCTAGGCCTTTTGGTTAATGAGAAGAAGTTGTTTGAAGATTTTAAGACATTTTACTCCTGTGACCTTGAAAGTAGGTCAAGGTCATTCATTTGAACAAACTGGGAAGCCCTTCATCCCAGCATGCTACAGGCCCAATATCAGTACTGGGCAATTTTGGTTATTGAGAAGAAGTTGTTTGAAGATTTTGAGACATTTGACCCCGTTGACCTTGAATGTGGGTCAATGTCATTCATTTGAACAAACTTGGTAGCCTTTCATACCAGCATGTTACAGGCTTAATATTAGTACCCGTGGCTTTTCGAAAAGGTTATTAAGAAGTTCGTTTAAAAGTTCAGGACATTTGACCCCTGTGACCTTAAAAGAGGGTCAAGGTCATTCATTTGAACAAACTTGGTAGCCCTTTATCCCAGCATGCTACAGGCCCAATATCAGTACCTTGTGCCTTTTGGTTATTGAGAGAAAGTCGTTTGTAGATTTTAACATATTTGATCCCAGTGACCTTGAAGATGATTCAAGCTCATTCATTCCAGAAGGTTATTGGCCAAATATCTTTATCCTAGGCCTCTTGGTTATTCAGAAGAAGTTGTTTAAAGGTTTTATACATATTTGACCCCTGTGACCTTGAATATAAATAAAGGTCATTTATTTGAACAAACTTGGTAGCACTTCATCCCAGCATGCTACAGGCCCAATATCAGTACTCTGTGCCTTTTGGTTATTGAGAAGAAGTTGTTTGTAGATTTTAACATATTTGACCCCAGTGACCTTGAATATGATTCAAGCTCATTCATTTGAACAAACTTGGTAGCAATTCATTCCAGCATGTTATTAGCCAAATATCATTATCCTAGGCCTCTTGGTTATTCAGAAGAAGTTGTTTAAAGGTTTTATACATATTTGACCCCTGTGACCTTGAATATAAATCAAGGTCATTTATTTAAACAAACTTGGTAGCCCTTCATCTTAGCATGCTACAGGCCAAATATCATCATCCTGGGCATTATGGTTATTCAGAAGAAGTTGTTTAAAAGTTTTTTAAGACAATTGACCCCTGTGACCTTGAATACAAGAGGCCCAATGGGCCTGCCTCGCTCACCTGTTATTAATCTAACACTTGTAATCTTAAGATTTCATAAGAACCTATTAAAAGATTTAAACATATGACGCCTCTGACCTTGATTGTTGAACAAGGACATTAGGTTGAAAGTGGATCAAGGTCATTCATTTGAACTAACATGGTAGTCCTTCATCCCAGCATGCTACAGGCCCAATTTCAGTACCCTGGCCCTTTTGCTTATTGAAAAGAAGTCGCTTGAAGATTTTACGACATTTGACCCTGTGACCTTGAAAGTTGGTCAAG